TGCGCGTGCGGTGCGCGGGGGCGGCTCCCCCGCCCCGCCGCGGTCCCGAGCGGGGAGAAGCCGCCGCCAGCGCCGGGGAAAGGCGGTCATGGTGGGGCAGGGATGGTCCCGCTGAGGCACGGACGGCCCCGCCGGTCCGGCCCCATTGTTGCGGAGGCAGCGCGGCGGTTAATCTCCCGGTAATGCTCCGGACGGCGTGGGGCCGCGGCGGGGTGTTTGCCTGAGGGGAAGGGAAAGGAGAGGAAAGGAAAAGGGGGGGCACCTCATTCCTGGCGGCGGCGCGACCGTGCCTCTCCGGAGGTGGAGGAGAAGCGGAGCGAGGGAGAAGAGGAAACTTAGGGAGAGTTGGTTACTTTGGGGAAGCGGCCGGTTCCGCCAGCCCGCCCGGTAAAGCGCCCTCTTCCCCCCCCGCCCCGGGATCCCCCGCCTGAGGGGCGCGGGGGCTGGGGGCCCTTCCTCGGCGGGGCCCGGCGTCCTGCGGTGAAGTGCTGCCTCTCCCTCTCCCTGTGCCCCAGGAGGTGATCGGAGGAGCGGAGGAAGATGAATTCCCAGCAGCAGAGGATGGCCGCGATCGGGACGGACAAGGAGCTGAGCGACCTGCTGGACTTCAGCGCGGTAGGGTTCTCCCCGGCTCCCCTCGGGGCGGCGGGGGCGGCCTGGCGGGGCCCGCTCCGCCGAGTCGGACACCTGAACTTTGATGTAATGTCTAGACTGCCAGATTTAATACTGTAATGCCAGCTGGGTCAATTGGTTTAACTGGTTAAAATCAGGCTGACCCAGTGATGGCATAATCTAATAATTAACGTTTGTTAAGCTGGTGTGTGGCACCGGTACTTTAGCTTTTTTATTTTCTTTCTGTATTTTTTTTTTTTTTAACTAAGAGAAAAATGTGGGAGTTGTCCCTGCCCATGGCAGGGGGTTGGGACCAAATGATCTTTAAGGTCCCTTCCAACCCAAACCATTCTATGGAAACTTAATGCCCGTAAATGACAGAGGTTATTCATTGATAGTTTGTACAGTAATTTTGGCTTAAAAGATTATAGTTTTTTCTCTCTGATACTTTTAACAGATTTCAAAAAAGTGCTTGATTTTTAGACATAATAGAAAACTACTGCTTGTCAAAAGCTATCTTTATCCAGTGACTTTAAGCTCACAGATCAGCAAGAAATATTTTTAAGTAGCAACCTTTAAGATATAGGGCAATTTAATAGTTATATTAGTAGTAGGTCTCCGTGAATTTTTTTAAGTTGTTTATGTTCGTGTAGAAAAGTGTTATTTTAGTGGCATTAATAAACTGCAAGGAGTACATTAGCTTAGTGGTTTTATGGATCTAAACACGCATCTCGCATTCTGTTTATTTTCTAACAGAAAAATTAATCCAGTAATTGTTTTCTATTAACTTTTTTTTTCAAGTTTTCATTAATAATTTTGCATGGAGTTTCAAAGCCAGTTCAAACGCATTCTTTTTCTTGTTTTGCAGATGTTTTCCCCACCTGTTAATAGTGGGAAAACCAGACCAACTACGCTAGGAAGCAGCCAGTTCAGTGGATCAGGTAGGATGCATATCAGATATATAAAGTTCATGTAACTAGGTCTTGATGTTTTAGATTAGTCTTCATGTGCTCAAAGTGTGGTAATCTTTCATTTGTACATATTCATATAAGACATCCAGATTAATTAGAGATGTATTGTTTTGATCTGACTTCATAACACATTTTGTTAACTTTAACCACAGTTTTCCTCTATAGGCCCTTAGATGACTTGTTCCAGTACAGTGAAGGGTTAATTATCTCTAGTCTGAATGAAGTACAAGTTGTCTGTTTATCTAAGATGTTAAAAATGAATGGCGTTTTTTTTTTGTTTGATAAAAATCAAACCTACCTGTTCAACTGCAGTATCTCCTAGCCCCTGTATGAAAAGGGAAAACGCTTGAGTAAAATGCCAAATAATGAAATACTCTTGACTCAAGGATGGGTTTTAAAATGAAGTCCTTAAGTAAAATGTAAGGCTAATTCAGTTTTCTAGTACTGTGTAGTTCTCAAAGTCTTGACAAATAGATTTCTTTCCTGTTGGAGCTTTATCAGTGCCTTTGGAAAACAAGTAACTACGTTTATACGTTGCATGTCTTCTGTGGCTGCAACGTCTTTTCATTGAGGTCCACCTAATGGCTGTTTTCAGAGACTTCTTTAGCGAAGCCCTTAATAGGAAAGAAGTGCAATTTTTTTTAAGATGCGTTTCTATCGTTCTTATAAAGGCTGTATTTATTACTATTTACAAAAGAGAAACTGAAGTAACTTTTTGATAATGTGTTTTGTTCTTTTTTTTTAATGTATGCTTATTTTCTGTGAATACAGTGAAGTGATATTTATGTTTTTATGAATACAACAAAGTGATGTTTGTGTTTGTAGGTAATGTTAATGAAAATAAATTTTAGAATGGCAGTAGAGGAGTGAAGCGATTGCTTGAAGCTGTGCAGTAACACCGCCTATTTGCCTCTTATGTTGTCACAGCTCGTACTTTGAGAGTCCAAATGGCACTTTGCATTTCAGTGACACTGGATTTTTTGTTTTTAAAAGCACTTTAAAACTTCTGAATTGTGTAATTTTGTAAACTCTTCGGAGATGATGTCCCACATTTAATTTAATGAAAATATGTAGCAAATCTTGTAGTTGTAGTATACTTGAAGAAGCTTTTTAGTGTTTCTCACATAAAATATAGAAGTGGTTTTGGCTTGCTCTTTGAAGGTATGTCAGGTTTAAATTATTGGCAATAGTAAGGCATCAGATCTGTATACAATGGAGTTAATATTTTTCTGTTTTTTATATTCAAGACAGTTGTTTCTCAAAAGCTTGTCCTAAAAGACATTCAG